GAGATTGCCTAATTCACCTTCATCGTTGGTTGTGTACTTGAAGAAGCTGCCCGCATCAGAGCTATGTTTACTTTGTAAGTAACCCAATGTTCGGTTAACATCTCCTATTAGATCGTCGTCAACTGTTCGGGATTGCTGAACAGCATTGTCCAAATCCTTTGGAGTGTACCCCAGATTCTCATATCCTCCAACTTTATTCTTCATGAACTAAACAATGTTGCGTTGTTTTATTCCTGACTGTCGCATCCCTATCGCCAGAGCCTTGTCTCCTTCACTCACATTTCGATGAGACCGAAGGAATTGAGTTTCTTCTTCATTGCAGCAACGATGTGAGTGTTTCCTCTCAAACTTAGAAACAACCCACATTTTCTTATTCCGATCAAATCGTACAGTATACGATGCCTTGCAAGAATGTCTTGTCATCTTACGATGTTGCCGAATCCGACCTTCTTTATCTATATGCATCTTATCTCTAGTCCCCTCTCTCGAACATACCATTGTCCTCCCAATTGCTACTCCTCGACGACTCCTCCGAAGATCTCTACGTCGAACGCTAAATCCTTTCGCTTTAGCATAGGAATCGTAAAATTTCTCTGCATCTTCTAATGTTTGGAACTCCATGGAAGGAATTTGTTGTTCATATTCAGTAGCTTCTTCATCATCCATAAATTCTTCTTCTGCACCCTCGGTTTCATAATCATCTCCAAAGACTTCATCATCGGTATTATCTGTATCATCTGAATTATCCATAGCTCCTTCTCGAGCATCATTAGGTTCCTCATCGAAGTTAACTTCATCATCATCTCTATCGTCTGTATCATCTCTGTTATCCATCCTGCAACGATCGGAATACGAACTTTATGTCAAAACATACACAATTAGCTCTCGTCAGGTCGACCTGAATGAACTGGACGGTCGACCTTATTAATAAATAACAAACATGCAACGATCGGAATACGAACTTAATGTCAAAACATACACAATTAGCTCTCGTCAGGTCGACCTCAATGAACAGGACGGTCGACCTTATTACTAAATAACAAACATGCAACGATCGGAATACGAACTTAATGTCAAAACATACCCAATTAGCTCTCGTCAGGTCGACCTCAATGAACAGGACGGTCGACCTTATTACTAAATAACAAACATAAGGTCGACCTAATTTACTGAAAGGTCGACCTAATCGAAAACTACGAATGAACGGTCGACCGGATGGTGCTTGTGGTCGACCGGATGGTGGGAAAAATTTAGCCACATAGAACCATTAACAAGCATATACGAGGCATACCTTAGCAACGAGGTCGACCACTTATTGGTACGGTCTACCGGAATAAAAATAAACCGCCACCAACACCCGATCACAATAAGCGCGATGAGATTATAACTTCACTCCAACAAATTGTAAGATTTCGTGGTACGTTAATGTCTGAAGACTCCCATCTATTTATAGATAATTTAGACGAATTCCTTATCCAATTGGTTCAAGATATATAAAATCATAATTCGACAAGGACAAGTACACAAAATCCTAATTGTACAAGGACAGGAATCATCACGGTCGACCGCTTTGCACAAATGGTCGACCGTCTTGGGTAAATATGAAACAGGTCGACCTCTTTACACAAATGGTCGACCGTTGTTTTTAAATGTGAAACAGGTCGACCTCTTTACAGAAATGGTCGACCAATGATTATAAATGTGAGCACAGGTCGACCTCTTGACAAGAATGGTCGACCGTACTTTTATTAAGGCCAAACAGACGAGTATCCATACTTATTTTACATGGTTTTTGACTTTCCTACAGTATCATAGGTCGACCTTAAGCTTCACGAGGTCGACCTGTGCTCTGCCTTTGGGTATGCCCGCTTTGAGTATGTGGTCGACCACTTGTTCTAGACGATTGAAATCGTAAATTCAGTCACATACATAATTGTATAACAAATCTAATAAACGATAAACATTCAAAATCCAAAATGAAACGATCTCGCAAATACAAAATAAATGTATGGTCCAAATAATGCAACATTGTAACTTAACGACTTCATTTCTTTGCTTTTTTCTTGGAACTCTGTCTCTCTTTGCCTCGTTCCATGCATTCATCTACTACTGCCTTGAAAAGATTTTCTCGTGCACGGTTTTCAAAATGTGTAGCCAGATACCATAGAATCTCCTTTCGAGCCGGTAATTTGTGTTCTTCTCCTATCTGCATTATGCCATGTAAGATTTCGTCACAACTAAAAAAAGTGTATATTATACTAGTTATTTGTTTGACGATATACTCACCACTCTATCAAGATCCTTGGATCCATAGCGCATCCACTGCATGACGTGCACACCACACTCAGTACTATTCCTTTGTCGTTGAACTGGTAGCTCATCAAAATTGAAATCTCCAAAATTTGGTACTACTACATTGCTCGTGCGCTCTGGTTTCAAAATATCATCCAAAGTGGACAACTACACACAAATAACGAATATTTTAAACTTCTAGCATACTACGTAACGCTTAGTAGTCAGAAAATTATAGGAAACACTTACCAATTTCTTGCATAGTTCTGATTTACGCCTACGATTCGCCTCAATAGTTGAAGGTAGACTGTCAAGCAAAAATGCAGTTTTTTGCTGGACATTGACGAGATACAGAAACCAATGACGTGCTTCATCTTCAAGAACTGGCATAAATATCTAGCAACGAAACACTCACTATATGTTATAAACAGCGAATACAAACAAATGCACTTTCGAAATTTAATGATATAGGGACATTGACTAGACTAACCTTCTGGCATGCACTGACATTCGGCATAAAGTCCACGCCATCATTCATCAACTTGTTACGAATTTGTCTGGTCTTCATGTTAGCGCGTACCATTTTCTGCACCATGTTTTAGTTGAGATGAATTGACATGGTACAATATAAATAACTAGGTTATGACAAATAATTTGACATTACGGCTCTTACCGAAAACATATTTGGAAAATACCACACATTTGGCTCTTTCACATCATGTTTTTCAGACATTGTTAGTGCCCTTGCACACAAATCCACTACCTACCATCCAACAATCAAACACAAAATCATCGTAAATCGTAACATAAATAGTGCACAATTCATGCGAAAGTCGTAGTAGTATAGTACTTACTGATGAGCAAACCCAGCTTTTCTCGCTAATGACCGAACTCAAATAATGTCGTTGCAGGTTTTCAGAAAAAAAGTCCACAATCATCAAACTGCAAAAATCAAGATAACAGAAATGTCAATTGTTTTTTTGCAACGTACAGGTCGACCTGTACACAGTCAAGGTCGACCTTATTGGACACACGGTCGACCTTATTGGACAACCGGTCGACCACACGTACTAGAAAAACGTCTTACTTGTCCCAATTCTTGTCCCCAACCTTCTCTTTAGTAACAACATAATACAAGTCTTCAACTGGATTTTGAAGATTTTTGGTGAATCCTTCTAGACCCTCCACTTTCATGACCTACAAATCATAGTTAAAATTAAAGTAACATATGAACACAAACACACATTATAGATGAAAATGTAACGTAAACTTACCCCGTGCTTTTCGAAAGGACTCTTAGATTCATCTTCATCGCTATCATCACTAAATAATCCCTTTCTTACAAATTGATCCTTCTGTGGAGTGGTGTAGGAGTCACTTTCATATCGCGGTCTCTTGTAATTAGGAGAGGAACCCTTGCGGCCATTCTTTGTTTCACTCTGTCAAACATATAAACAAAATAGATTAGCACTAATGATAGTAATACTAATATCTTCAATCACATATGAATATACTTGGATACCTTTAAAATGTGCTCTTTCAATAAATCGTCTATGCTCTGGTAGCAATTTTCAGAGTCATCATGGTCTTCCTCCTCTTTACCAAAGTCAAATTTCTTTCCTTTACCATTTGTGCCGCCATTCTCCATTCGTTCTGCACTTATATCTTTGATAGCACCTTCTAGCCTCTCAAACCCGTCATGCATCATCCCAGTCATATCTGTCAGTCGAACTGACAAATGCTCGACTTGTGTTTGACACACCACCAGCTTCTCTTGTGTGGCTTTCAACAATTTCATGATTTCACCCAAATCTTGATGCAGTTTCTCATCATGCGTCATCGTCTAAACAATTTAAAGAAAAATTAAAATCATAATTCAAGTACAAATTTCTATAATTGACCAAAAAACAAAGACGTGGTCGACCTGACAAAGTATTAGGTCGACCTGTAAGACAAATAGTGACTACCACAACTCGTCAGGTCGACCTCGGTTATTCCTAGGTCGACCTATCCAGCAGGAAAATAACAATTACAAACAAATAGTAAGTTCAAAATTAAACCGAAAAAAGGACAGGTCGACCAGATATCTGGCGCGGTCGACCTTTTCAAGCACAACATAGTCATACAAACAAAGCCAAAGTCGACATTCAGGTTGAATAACCAAAAAAACATATACGGTCGACCTTGAAACTCATTAGGTCGACCGATTGGGTTACCTCGCAAGTACAGAAGTCCAAGTGTTGTGGCCTAAATTCAAATACGAAGAATTGTCTCGTCAGGTCGACCTGGTTGACGTCGCGGTCGACCGAATTGGATTCTGCACCCAACAATATATCAAGTTAGCCGGTGGAAATCACGCATTAAAAAAGAAGACGGCGAATGCTACATTAGGTCGACCTCACCTTAGACCTGGTCGACCTCTTCCAACACGTACAACAGCAACCGCGAACTAGGCTCTTCACAAAGGCTCTAAGTCGGAAAAAAACCTAATTCAGACTTGGTGGCGTTGAAGGGGACTCATATTCGTATTTATAGAGATTTAGGACGTGAATGGGTCGACCCAATTCGTTTCCTTGTCCAATTGTGGAACCTTTCTGGTGTTGGAATCCATATCCAATACGGATACGGTCTGAAGGCGGTCGACCTCTTCACAATGCGGTCGACCTATTAGGTGCACAAGGGTCGGCCTATGCGATATTTGGGTCGACCTGTCATTCTGTTAGACCACTAAAACGGTCGACCGCATTTTGTAAGAGGTCGACCGCCTTCAGGAACCCAACATACATGAATTAGCCCATTCGGTCGACCGCAAGTTGTATTCGGTCGACCGAAAAGTCCATGTCACGGTGACATGCATGTCACCGTAGCAAAATCCAAACCTTCTCCTGATGCACCATGAAGAAAAGCGCAGCGACACGTGTAAATAGAAAATGAACCATCCACGAGTTATTCCAATAGATAGTATCAACTATCAACCGAACAAGATGGTTTGATAGTCAAGCACTCAAGATGACGGTCGCTGGGCCTATGACAGACTGAAGAGAGACGACCAGCTCAGTGGGCTGAGTAGATGAGCCCACATCTGCTAAGATAACCGGTGGCAAACTAGGCCCACTGATGTTGGGGGAAGCTGGAGAACGAGCCAGATCTTTGGCCATAACCTTCCATTCTCATCTCCGCCTTGCCCCGAAGATTCAGGGCTTGTGTTGTTCCCACTTGCGCCTCACAGATCTGAACCACACAGATCCATTAAATACTTACAGCTGACGGAAATGTGGGCACCAGTGAAATCATCAACCTAACACAGAAGATGAGGACAAGTTCGGTAGGGAGCAGTAAGCTACTGAGATTCGTTTCTCCAAACCAACCAGTGTACCTGCATTCGTCAGATAGCCACATGACTTGTTCAATGCCACATTCCACCAATACGATGTTTGAAACCAGAATCTGATGTCTTCAGAATATACCAGTAAAGCTGTCCTAAAATACCCACGTTTTCCTTCACAAATTTGCTAGCCAATGACAAATTGCTTCTTCCTTTGCAGTTGTTCTATATACACAGTATGTGCTTCATTATTATCCAAATTACAAAGTCAACCTTTGTGTGTGACTATGTACTTCTATCCTGTCCACCTGATGTTTTCCTACTTACCATCTTGTGAAAAGCTCAAAAATCCCCTCCTGAGAAAAGATAGGATTCTGTATGTTACAAACCAAATTAGCCTGTACACTGCGGTATAACAAATATGCCGTTGTTCTAACCTTCTACCATCAACCACAGCATGATGATCGAGGATGTTGCGATAGAGACCCAGCTGAGGAAAGCCAACGCCACTGCCATTTGGTACTTTTGGCATTCTCCAACGAAACCGCAGTGTCCCAGGTCATGAAAAAGAAGTACGGTGATGCCGGCGGAAGCAGAAGCCGCCGCCAGAGACAAGGTTGCCGTCACCTGTTTATCAGCATTAGCAATTAGCAGAGTGTGTGTTAATGAAACCACAATCATCTATATTATGAAGGCGGCACTAGACTTCAAGTAGCAGAGTTTTGTTGGAGGGTACTAACCCAATCTCCCACAGCAAAAAGGCTGACCAATAGAGAGTTGTGCAGAATTTTGCCTCTCACCAAAGCATAAGAATCTAGCAACGCAAGTCCAAAGCTCCAGATCACTTGCAAACCCATTGACGCAATTAGGTAGCTGCAGAATTAGTAAAACCAAGTCTCAGAGTTAAAGAAGTCTTGAAACTCCCAAGTTTTTCGAACTGCAGATGGAACATATTTTGCATCCACAAGGCTAGACATCAATTCACTATTTTGCTCTGTGACTGCTGATTCTTGTCTCTTTAACAATTTACAAACCGTAACCATGATGTTAGAATTGCTTATGAAGTATGATCATTTTCATAACTTTTGATCCATTCATTGCCAATTATGCAGCACATCTGTTCTCCGTTAACCAAGAGAAAATGTCCTCAGCGTCCGTTGCAACATCAATGAGCTCTTTTTTTCTTCAATATTATGAAAAACATGGCAGAACCAACTACAAGCCATCAATACATATTGAATATGATTCTGCTGCACTATGTATCAGTGAACTAGAGACTTAGATCAGCAGTTGGTAGTCCGGATGTGGAGATCTCTACTCTATTCACAAGCCATTGATCACACTTCAATCTTCCTTAAACAGTTAATCCAGATCCAAAGCACCGGATTGCAACTTACATACCATTATAGCTGATGCCATTTATTTCGCATAAAATTGTTGCATGTCACAATTAGCAAGAAACAACCCAATTCTTAGGAAATGTAGCTTTTCAAAAAGTTAGCAATTTCGTCATCCTTCAATTAGCTTGCACGAATCAAGTTTTCTACTTAACTTTGTTCAGGTTCATTCAATCTTTACCTTTGCCGAATCATACAAGCAAACCCAAATAGCATAATTGAGGAGAACAAGAGAGCCGAAGAATACCAGAAAGCAGTGAAGTTGAAGAAGCTAGAAGTGGTGGAAATAGCAGTGATCGACCCAGCCGCAAACACACATTGAGAAATCCGCAGGAAAAGCCCGGTCATAGTCCCCGGCGTGCCAGCAAAATCCCTCATTCCTTGCCTCTGTGGTGTCCTCCGCCAACTCCAATCGACAAGAATTTCAACTGGCTAATGGGTTGATCGACGCAGCCATACCCCGGATCATTCAAAACCGAGGGGGAAAAGGAGGGCAAAGTAACAGCTCTGTGTTGGTTCAGACAATTGCACGAACACCTACCGGGCACAGCTAACAATTAGGCAGACACCCCAAGGCGGTGACAAAGGAGAAAGCTTTGGCGCTGCCCAGAAACTGAAATTGGATTATTGAATGTGGGTAGGTAAGGAATTGACGGGCAGAGAAGAACAGAGGGCTGCAGATGCGGACAGGAGATACAATAAAGTGGGGAAGGAAAGAGGCGAGAAGAGAAGAGAACAGTAAACTGGAAAACAGGTAGCCAAAAGGAAGAAGGTGGGCAGATTTGAGAGTACATCAACAAATAAATAAATTGTTTTGTAATACCTAATTAATTAACTAATTATTACTAGGAATCACAATCGAAAAAGAAAATATCGTGTTTGGAGTTTGGACCCAAACCAAACCAAAGCTCTGCTTTTTGCCTCTTTCCCAACGCTTGCAACAGTCAACTGGCACGAAAAGGCCTATCCTTTTCCGTCGTGGGAATCATTTCTTGGCTTGCCTTTTGCTCTTTCCTTAATCCTTGTAAATTTGGAGTGAAGTAAAGAGTACAGACACATACTACAATTGGCTGGTCTCCACTCGCTCATGAATCATTGACTCATGGGGCATCAAATTTCCGAGCAACACAAGTAACCCATTTGGTGTATGCATCACTTTCCTAACCAAACAAACAGAGATATCAATTTACTTTAGAACTACGCATTCTCAAGTGCAGAGTTCCCGGCATTTAGTAATGAGATCATGGGCATACAGAGCCGTCATGCTATACTTTAGTAGCTGCTGCAATCACACCCTGAAATGAGTTGATGCAGAAGTCCCATCAACACCCTTGGAGTGACATCAATCCAACGATTTTGGTGAAGAATCTGAAGCGCTCTGATATGGTCCTGGACTAATACGGTGAGGAAATCGGGATCAGATTGCTTGGTGGTGCCTGTGATTATGTGCGGTTGTAGGCAGATCAAGTTAATGTCGAGCGACTCATACAGTAATTCGAACAGAGTCGTTTCGAGTACTTCATGGTCAATTCTCGATAGATTGACGCATATTCTCGCGGATCTAGTCGTTCCAGATCCATTACACTAGGAACTTTTGACTTTCTAGATCTTACCATTTGAGTAAAACTATTTTTGGTGGGCTAAAAAGCCAAATCTTGCTCCAAAATTTAGTTTTTTTTTTTAGCTTCCCCTTTGAAGATGATATAAGGAGAGTGATTCATTTACCTGTTTCCTTCCATCCAAATTCCTGACAATATTTACATGGAGATTACATAAGATATTGTAGAAAGTGGAAAGCTAGGAAATTACAGAGACCAAAAGTCCCTGATTACCAAAGGATATTTATTCTTTCTCGTATATATGTGCCTGTTCATTGGTTCTTCTAACCGGACCTGCTTTCATCGTCAGATCTAAGAGTCTGAAATGCTCAAGGGCGGAGATCACATTAAGCCCTTTTGCATAGTAGTATTTAACAAATTCCTTCACCGCAGTTTTCCTGAAAACTGGGGGATTCTCTTCCGATACCAGCTCCTTAACCGGACCATAGACCCTAGAGTTCTCAGGTGGCAGCTGCTGCCTCAGGAAACAAGCCACCGAAACTCTTGGGCCTATCGACTTCGTCAGAACTCTGTGTTGAGAGCTTTTGAATTCGTCGTTGGAGATAAGCTGCACACATGGCCACGGATTGGGAAAAAGTGATCAGATATAAAGCTCAATGAGATTGATAACTAACCATTGTAGTGACGGTGACGGTCCAATTTTTATTTACCTGCATCAAGTCTCCCACGTTTATCACAAGAGCACTAGTGTTGGGTTCAACATCAACCCAATGATTATCACATTGAACTTGGAGACCACCAATTTGGTCTTGGAGAAGCACAGTGAGAAAGCTGCTATCAGAGTGGCTGCTGATTCCCATTGTCAAATCCGGTTCAGGACAAGCTGGGTAGTAGTGACCGAAAAACATCAGTCCTTCAGAGCAACCTATATCGTTAAGGTAACTGGGGTTCAGCCCCGGTGCTTCGGACAACAATACGAATAGCCTCCTTGCCAATAACATTACTTGGGTCGAGTAATCAACCATCGTCTCCCTGCCCAAACAACAAGAATAGATCGATTAGAATTCGCAGGACCTCAGAACAGAGTTTTTCATAACCTCCATCTACCCCCAAATTTGGGTTTGAATGGATCTTCAGGGGTTTACCCGCAAACTTGAGGGAGTTCTTTAGGGTTTGGTGGGCGAGGAGCCATGACACAGCTCACGGTATCCCTCCAATTGACAGCCGGCGACTGATAGAAATCGAAGTTGCAGTTGTAGGTCAAAGTCTTGCTGTAGTCCCTGGTGTAGAACCCTTTCTTCACTTGAGTCTCTAGTTCGTGGAAACCCTTCACCCCTTCCATCATCTTGTTCAGGAGGGTTGTGGGTATCCCGTGATTGATTACCTGGAAAAAACCCCATCTCCGGCAGGCTTCATTCACTTGCCCAATCACCCGGCGGCGGAGATTTGGGTCTCCGTCTGTGAACAAGGATTACCATGATCACCAACTGCTGCAGGTCTTCAGAGATGCTGCAGAAGGAAGAACAGATGAAACCGAGCAGAGCTTCCTTTCACTCTGCTCAGTACACAGATGGTGACCTTGAAGCGGCGTCGTTTTGCTTAAGTGGTAGAAACTCCACAAAGCAGAAAGACGCAGTATTGGGAGATTGTAATTAGTTAGCGTTTAAACTTAGCTTTAGCCACTTGGCACTTTTCTGTTGGTTAGTTTAATTAAACGTTTCTCTTTACCGTTAATGTACAGTGACCAGTGATATATATATATATATATATATATATATATATATATATATATATATATATATATATATATATGAAATCCCACAGAGGAAGAAGGCATTCTGCCGATTCCACACAGCGGTTGTTCTTATCTTCTTGCAAACCCTAGTGTTCTTGGCTGCTAGGTTAAAACTTTCACATGGTATCAGAGCCTGGTTGGCTACTGATTACCTGATTTTGCTTTCGTTACACAAAACCCATTTCTCTTCTTCTCATTTCACCGTCGAAATCCTGCTGATCTTTCACAATGTCTGGAAAGGAAGACAGCAGCAGCTCAGAACGACCTGAAGGCGAGAGGGAAGTCGTTCCTCCTTCTCGTTATGAAGATCCTTACAGTAATCCATTCTACCTGGCACCAAATGACAACTCGTCGCTGCCAGTGATCAGTTTCAAGCTCAACGACAACAACTATCTTCTCTGGAGTGAGTCTATGGAGGTCGCACTCCGCACCAAGAACAAGCTGGGTTTCGTCCTAGGTTCGATTCAGGTACCAGATATCACTGATCCCTCTTATGGCACTTGGGATAGGGTTAATGGCACGGTTGTGTGCTGGATTCGAAACACTGTTGCAGAGGACATTGTTCCTAGTCTCAGGAACATCAAAACAGCTTCTGAGGCTTGGAATTTCCTTAAGTCCAAGTTCAGTCAAGGCGATTCCGTGAGAATTGCAAATCTGCAGGAGAAGGTTGACCTAACCAAGCAAGGGGATCTGTCTATTAGACAATACTACACTGATTTGAAGTTGTTGTGGGATGAGAAAGACTGTTATTTACCCATTCCATACTGTGATTGTGCCTCCAGAACTTATGAAACTGTTATGATGTATAAGGATCGAGAGAAGGTTATCAAGTTTTTACTGGGTCTTAATGAGAAATACCAACAGGTGAAAACCCAGATGTTGATGCTTGATCCCCTTCCAGATCTAGATAGCATTTATCGTTCTGTGATTCAACTGGAGAGACAATTGAATGGAGCCAGTGCTAACACTGGGAAGTCTGAGGAAACTATTGCTCTTGCAACTGCCCTAGCTGCTTCTAGGGTTCCTTACAACTCACCTGCTAAGGATAAAGGGTTGAAGGAAGAACAAACTGGAGGAGGAGGACTTTTTTGCAGATACTGCAAGAAGGATAACCATGTTATCCAGGACTGCTAGAAGCTTAAAAGAAAGAACAAAGAAGGAGGAGGAAACCACAGAGGTTTTGCAGGCTCAGTGGATGTTAACCCTGCTGAGAAGCCACCTTCAGGAGGAGGAAATTTTTCACCCAAGAGTCCAAGCAGCAATCCAGACAGTCCTCAGCATTTTACTGGTTTCACTACAGAAGAACTTTATCGGCTGAAGGCTTTACTTCAGAGTCCTCAGAATCAATCATCCTCTTCCTCAGTGAACTCTATTACATCTAAGGGGCAAACCATGTCAGGTATTACTATCCTTTCTACCTATACAGCATCAAAAAGTAAAGATGTATGGGTGCTTGACACTGGTGCTAGTGACCACATAGTGTGTTCTATGCATTTCTTCCTTAGATGTAGAGAGGTTAAGAATATGTCAGTTACTCTTCCAAATGGCCAACAGGCAAAAGTGACTCACACAGGGATAGTCAAGCTGCCTTGTGATCTGTTTCTCACAAATGTCCTTTTAGTTCCATCCTTTAGCTATAACCTGATTTCTATCAGTCAGCTAACTAGCAACAGTCCAGTCTCATTACATTTTGAATCCAACTTTTGTTGTGTCCAGGACCTAATCTCTCGACAGAGGATTGGTTTAATCCACGTAAATAGAGGGCTTTATTTGCTTGGGGAGTCTGTTGCACCTGGAGAGAATCTCAACCCACATTTCCTTGGAGTGACCACCAGTGAGAGCTCAAAGTTGTGGCATGCCAGGCTGGGACATCTTTCCTTTCCAAGACTGCAAGAGATTACCAAACAAAGTAGTGATGTAGTAGCTACAGAAATGAGTGATTGTGAGGTTTGCCACTTAGCTAAACAGAAAAGATTACCTTTTAACAGGAGTATTTCTACTGCAAAGGAACCATTTGATTTGGTCCATATTGACATTTGGGGACCAGTTGATGTAGTGTCTTGTGATGGTTTTAAATATTTCCTCACTGTGGTGGATGATTATAGCAGATGTGTATGGCTATTTTTGATGAGTTTTAAATCTGAAGCAAGAGGTTTGGTTTAGTCTTTCTGTAGCATGGTAAAAACTCAGTTTGATAAAACTGTGAGGGTGATTAGGACTGATCAGGGGCAGGAGTTTAACATGCCAGATTTCTATCATGAGCATGGTATCTTACATGAAATGAGCTGTGTCAAGACAGCACAACAGAATGGCAGAGTAGAACGCAAGCATCAGCATATTTTAAATGTTGCTAGGGCACTCAAGTTTGAATCTGGAGTCCCTACCAGTTTCTGGAGCTAACTGGTCTTGCATTCTTCATACATAATCAATAGAACTCCTACATCTGTATTAGGAAACAAAACCCCATTTGAATGCCTATATGGGATACCACCTGATTACAGTACCTTGAGAATTTTTGGTTGTCTTGCCTATGCTACTGTTTTGGATGAACATAAGAAGAAATTTGCAGAAAGGACTAAGAAAGCTGTGTTTGTAGGATACCCTTTTGGGATAAAGGGATTTAAGTTGTATGATCTGGAGACACGTTCTACCTTTGTCAGTAGAGATGTGCAATTTGTTGAAGATGCATTCCCATTTAAAACACTTGAGAGTAGGGGTTCTTCTTCACCTTCTTCTTCCACTTCTCTACCTGTTTCTCCCATTCTTCCTCCTGATCATAATCATCATGAAACTACAGACCCATCTTACTTTCCCACAGACACAGACTCAACTCCACCTACATCACCTCCTTCTACACCAGTAGCTCAAACTCCTGTTTCACCATTTACACCTTCTTCTTCTGTTCCATCTTCTTCTTCTTCACATCCTTCTACTTCCAATCAACAGGACTCTTTACCTATTGCACTTAGGAGAGCTCCAAGAGTTTCTAGGCAGCCTGCTTACTTGCAGGATTTTCACACATCTTTTCTTACCACTGGAACACCTTGATCTTATGATGTCAGGATGTCTTACCCTCTCTCACATTCTCTCAATTACAACACCCTATCTTCTAACCACAAACACTATACACTTTCTATTTCACTACACCCTGATCCTCAAACCTACTCTCAATCCATTAAGGAAGATCGTTGGAATAAAGCCATTATAGAAGAGCTGGGTGCTTTAGAAGCAAATAACACCTGGACTCCTGTTGATCCTCCTGTAGACCAGAAAATTGTAGGGAACAAATGGGTGTTTAAGACAAAGTTCCTACCTGATGGGGTGATAGAGAGAAGCAAAGCTCGTTTGGTAGCTAAAGGATACACACAGACCTATAGTGTTGATTTCATTCACACTTTTTCTCCTGTTGCCAAACTTAATTCAGTTAAAATGCTTATAGCTGTTGCTGCAATTAAGGGTTGGCACTTACATCAGATGGATGTAAGCAATGCCTTCCTCCATGGTGACTTAGAGGAGGAGGTTTACATGGAGGTACCAGATGGTTTAAAACATCTAAGTCACCTTGAAGGTAAGGTTTTGAAACTCAACAAGTCTCTTTATGGACTTAAACAGGCCAGCAAGCAGTGGTGGTTCATCAAACTGTCAGAATATTTGAAGAACATGGGATTTGAGCAATCCCTTGATGATTACTCAGTTTTCAGGACACTTTCAGTTGTGTTGATTGTGTATGTAGATGACATACTGTTAGCAGGGCCAGTTTTGAGTGAAGTTGAGCATGTAAAGCAAGAATTGAAGAAGGGATTTAAAGTAAAGGATCTAGGCAATATGAGATATTTCCTGGGTTTGGAAGTTGCTAGGTCCAGTGAAGGCATTTCTTTGAACCAGAGAAAGTTCTGTTTAGAACTATTGGCAAACTCTGATTTTCTGGAGAGCAAACCTGCAAAAACACCCTTAAGCATGAAGACTGTCCATTCAGCAGCAGATGGAGTTCCCTTAGAAGATGGATCACATTATAGGCATCTGTTAGGACAGCTTCAGTACCTTACTACAACAAGACCAGACATCACATTTCCAGTCCAACAGCTCTGCCAATTTCAGGACAAACCTACAACTACTCACATGAAGGCTCTACACAGGATTCTAAGGTATTTGAAAGGTTGTCCAAGTCAGGGTTTGTGGTTTTCATCCTCATCTACTCTTGAATTGAGGGGATATTGTGATTCTGATTGGGCCACTTGCCCTGACACTAGGAAGTCAGTAACTGGGTACTGCACTTTGCTAGGAGATTCTTTAGTTTCGTGGAAAAGCAAGAAACAGAACACTGTTTCGAGATCCTCCTCAGAGGCAGAGTACAGAGCTTTAGCTCAGCTCTCATGTGAGATTCAATGGCTGAAATCACTTCTGAAGTTTTATGGAATTGAGCATCAGCAGCCAGTCAAGGTGTTTTGCGACTACCAATCTGCTATACATATAGCAGAAAACCCAGTTTTCCATGAATAAACAAAGCACATAGAGGTTGATTGCCATGTTATTCGTGAGAGACTGATTTCAGGTTTACTTACACTTCATCACATTCGAACAGAAGAGCAGTTAGCAGACTTGTTCACTAAGGGCCTCTCTGTTGACAGATTTCAGTATCTACTGTCCAAGCTTGCAGTGCATGTGCTTGCAAGCTTGAGGGAGGTTGTGAACGAGGATTACCATGATCACCAACTGCTGCAGGTCTTCAGAGATGCTGCAGAAGGAAGAACAGATGAAACCGAGCAGAGCTTCCTTTCACTCTGCTCAGTACACAGATGGTGACCTTGAAGCGGCGTCGTTTTGCTTAAGTGGTAGACACTCCACAAAGCAGAACGACGCAGTATTGGGAGATTGTAATTAGTTAGCGTTTAAACTTAGCTTTAGCCACTTGGCACTTTTCTGTTGGTTAGTTTAATTAAACGTTTCTCTTCACCGTTAATGTACAGTGACCAGTGATATATATATGAAATCCCACAGAGGAAGAAGGCATTCTGTCGATTCCACACAGCGGCTGTTCTTATCTTCTTGCAAACCCTAGTGTTCTTGGCTGCTAGGTTAAAACTTTCACACCGTCGACGCCTTGCAAGTCAACGGTAGGGATTACTGGTAGCTCCGACTCGGTGTGCCCTGGAGTTGATTGGATGGAAGCTGTGTTGGGCTGTGAGTGGAGGAAGATCGACGGGATTCTTGCGATTCCAGCGTCTACTAGACCCTTTACGCCGGCTTTTGTCTCGTCGAAGCCCTTCAGTGCAGTTTCTCGATCGAAATCGGAGCTCTCTGGTTCAGTTTTGGTTACCATATTCGGCGTCGGAGTAAAGGAGCCACACAGTAATTGCAGTGCTCAACATATAGTGCATAAATGCATCTATGACCTTCATTCAGAAAATTCATAATTAAGGAGGGTGAAAAATTAAATACATTTTTATTTTTCTTTGTTTTCTTAATTGTATTTTCTTCGTCTTAATTTGAATTTCAATTTTTTTGTACAGATAGAACGAGTTCGTTGTGCTCTACAAAATGAGATCAATTTTCAATACTTCTTTAGAAAAATAAAATTTCTTGCATCTCGTTACCAACTGCATATAGGGATGGCAATTTCGACCTGATCCGTTTTACACGACCTGTTTGGCCTGTTTTGGGGCGGGTCCAACCCGCATGTAGGCGGGGCGGGCATGGGTACTCTCATTGACCCGACCTACCCTGACCCACCCCATTCTCGACTCGTTCTTGTCTAAATTACATGTAATCTTAGTCAAATTACTTAGGATTTTTCTTTTATTACATCATAATTTAGCTATAATAAAGTTGTAAATTAGTGAAAACCTCAATCTCTCTAATAATTTAACTACATTTATCATAATATTGTTTGTTTTCTTGGTCTTATAATAAAAATAGCAAATTTTTCTAATATTTTTCATATAAATTGCATACCCATTGGGTCGACCTGCTCCGACCTGCGATCCGTGATAAATTATCCAACCTGGACCCGATCAGCCACGGGGCGGGTATGGGTACCAAGAAACCCTCCCCAAACCTGCCCCATTGCCATTCCTAACTGCATACCATATGGTATTTTCTTCATTTTTAAATTGTTTTTTAAAATTGTTGCACAGAAGAAACGAGTTCATCATGATATATTGGATCTACAAATTTCTGGGTGAACAAAATATATGACCAAAAAATACCACACAATACCATACAATACCACCTTGGTACGGGGTGATATCTTGTGGTACACAATGTTGAAAATAGTAAATGACAGTTAGTATACTTCTACTATCATGTATTCAACCACCCTACTGTCTTGGTTTGTTCATACCACCATGGTACGCTTTTCATATCATAGGTTTGTTCTTATTTCAATACGAGTCAATACATATAGTATAGACTTGTAAAAAATGGCTCAATTTGTTTTCTTTCAAAAATATATCAAAGTGGATATCATTTTGAAGAGCACAATTAATCTGATCTAACTGTGCAAAAAAATTAAATTTCAACTTAAAACGAGTGAGAAATCGTCCGTTAAAAATTAAGAGATGAAAATTAAAAACTTTTAAGAAGAGAGAATGGATGCTGATGTGGCGAATTTTGATTGCGTTATGTTATTGACTAGATTCGCTCCCTAGTTACAGTTCAATTATGTAGGTTTTTGGAGCGTGACAAACAAAACTTTGATGTAACTGTAGATAACCTGTTTTATTCAATTTGTTTGATTTGTTTTTAATGAAGCAGATATAGGTACTTCCTTCGATTTGACATGTTCCATTTTGATTTGTTTTGTGTAAATTACATATAATTTTAGATAAATTATTCAATATTTTACTTTTATTATTTTACATTTTAGCTATAATAAAATTGTCAATATGTGAGAATCTCAATTACTCAAATAATTTAACTACATTTATTATATTTTAGTTTGTTTTTAAGTTTATAATTTAAAATAATAATTTCTGTCATAAATCAACGGGTTCAATAACTCGAGTTGTTGAGAGAGGTAAATATATGATACTTAATCATTTTCTTACAAAGTTCCTCAAAAGAAAGCCAACTCATAGGTTTGAAGTTTGCACAAGCCTCCTCATACAATATGTTTTAAGTCAGCGATCATTTCAAACTACAACACGTGACCTCAATAACAAACCAACTCTAATATAATGTAATAGACCAATTAGTCACAATAACTCAAATTGTTGAGATATCCATATATAATACTTATCCACTTTATTACATTTAAGATATCTACAAATATATTATAGCAGAGTTGTGTGCAGTTTTTCAGCATTTCAAATTTGCTGCAACGAGAGCAAAAGTAGGAAGGGCAATTGTGTCTTCACAATCATTATTTATTTTTACATCAATCTCAGAATTTGAACCATGATCTTTCCAAGCAAAGACAACAACCATTACCAATTGTACTAAAGAAATGTTTGATATCTTTTTAAATACTAAAATCTAAAAACCATATGACTTTTCCAATACATTAGCTAGCCCACTAACTCACCTGTAAGTACTTTCTTTGTTATTTGTTATTTGAATTTTCATATTTTGATTATTTTAATTTGAGTTTAATAAAAATTTAATTTATGTCTATCTTATAAATGGAGGATAATTTTAAAATTACAACCCAAATATTATTGATTCAAATATTGCGCATTGAATTGAAGTATTGAATGTGCAGATGTGATGTATAATTCTTAACATGGTATTAATTTTTAGAACTATAAAAAGCAACGATATTGTTATTCAAACTGTAAGTGACAAGTTCTTTGAAATTTTTAGTTTGGTTAACCGTTAAATCCTAAAACTCTTGATAGTATGGCATTATTGGACAAATAGTGAGATTAAAAGAACACAATTTCTGAATACCAATTTTCTATACGATTTCAATTATTTAAATCTTTTATTAATTGACCTTATGTATATCATTCATAGTTACTTAGTTTAATATGAAATAACCGTAATACAAGACAAATCATGAAAGTCGGGCTGGAGTTTTCATTCACGCATTGATGTGGTCATGTGCATTAACAAGTTAGATACCACGAGATAGATTTAATTTTTTTGTTGAGTGAATAAAATTGTCCTTCAACTAATTTAGAGTATGTTGATTGATAAATAATTTTTCATTACATAGAGTATGGAAGAAAAATATTATTTTCTTACTAATTTTGTTATTGTATTGTGCAGAATAATTTAAGGTTTAGATGTTGCTATTTATGTATTGTTTCTTAAGCAAAAGAAATAAATATTGACTAAAGATTATGACTTATGATCACGAGTTTCCTATTTATGCTACGTTTTTTCAAACAAACTCTTTTTCAGTTATGTCAATTTTCTTTTCCACCATAGGCAACTAAGTGACTACATCATTAAACAGACAAGTTGTGAATGGTTATTCATGAGTGTTATATACAATCAAGATTGTTACACCTCTACCGGACAGCTGGTTGTACTAGGTGCGACCAAAGTCGTGCTCCGAAACGGGCTCTACAAAACCAAGGGTCTGATCGTTACAGAGGAAGAAGAAGAGAGAGGCAAGGGATGGTGGGTGGATCTTGAGATAGGTATTTTTTTATGGAATTTGAGTTTTTAATAGATATAAGTTAGAACATTTCATTTCACTCACTAAATTTCTATTTATATATTAATATATTTAGAAAATGTATAAAACGGCTTCAAACCATTTGCTTGATCGGCTCAACATCATAAATCAGTTTCACAACTTTGGTTATAACCATTAAAATTATAATGTTTATTATAGATGAACAGTTATAAGAATTTTAAAAATGAAAAATAATTTCGATGTCACATTAATATCATACGAAATTCAACATTTAAAATAATTTAAAAAATTTAAATACGCATAAAAATACATTATAATCAAATGACATTCCCACCAAGGTCGACTAATTTTATTTATAAATTACATCATATCTAGGGCTGTCGGTTCGGTTCGGTTCGGGTAACCGAACCCGAAACCCGTGGAAACCGAAAAACCGAACCCGCTCCCCTCACAAACCGAACCCGAACCCGAGATGCTCCTATGTGGGTTTCGGGTACTGAAACCCGAAATGGATGTTTGTGGGTTTGGTTCGGTTCGGGTGAAACCGAAACCGAACCGGCCTGAGTTTTTTTTTTATATAGTTTTGTGATTTGAATTTTACATTGTACAAAATCATTATATTCTTATTATTTGTACATTCTTATTTTACCATTATGTTTAATTTTATGGGACATGGACAGTATAAAACTAATATTTACATATTAGTTTATTATTAAAATATTATTTAATTATTAAAATATTTAATTTTATGTATTCTATAACTATAGACATACTATTAACTATTAAAGAGTATTAGTAGTTTAGAGACAAAGTAAAATACTTAAACATATTTTATACGTAACTTAATCATATCTTATTTAATTGTGGATTTTTTTATAATTAAATATTTTAGTAATACCATAGGTCCAAAATTGAAGGTATTTCAACTATCATATGCAAAAAAATGTTTGGTGTTTGGCGCAAAATTATAAATAATTTTGTTCAAAATAAAATACGACAATCATAGATGAGATTATCTTCAACTCGTAATTAAACACATTAGTTTTACAATTCTCAAATGATAACATCCAAGTAAAATAAAAATTCATCCACCATACAAGATAAATACTACTACCATTATCACTCCTCATCAGGCTCTACATCTACATAAGTCTCATCATTCTCATCGGAATTGTTGTCGACATAGTCTTCTTCCACTTGTGACATAGTAGGACTCAAGACCAAAACATGGGTAGCAGGAGAGCTTCCACTGGGTCCTGCACGAGAGCTTCCACTAGGTCCTACAGGTGCACTTGCACTCCGAGCTTGAAAAGCTACATATACTGGATAACATAAACAATAACAAATTGTTAGAATATGACTTGATCAAGATAACAAATATAAGAATAAAGAGAAAGATTAAAACCTTACCATTTTGAAATACCACTTCATCATCACCCTCATCTTCTCCATCAGCCACCAACTCGGAGTCTGAAGATCTTATCCAGTCTTCACAACAAATCAACGCCTCCACAACTTCAGGGGATAAGGAGGTCCTAAACGAATCTAAAACTCGACCTCCTGTGCTGAATGCCGACTCAGAAGCAACAGTGGAAATAGGAACAGCAAGAATATCCCTAGCCATCTCGGAAATAGTAGGATATTTCATCACTTCCCCTGTCAATGCTGGTACTCTTAGAGCGTCCTCCACGTCTAGGACGAGAAGCCGATGGTGCCTCACTTCCCCTGTCAAAATGAAAAGTTGAGTTGAGTTAAAACCTTTACAGTGAAGTGTGAACCACTTAAACACCATAACAGTGTTAATGTATTAGCAATTACATTAGCCATTCATAAGATATCCAGTCAACAAAACAATAAAGCACCAAGTATTATTGATATCTTTCCAAAACAATGAAAAGAGAAACAGAAAGGCATTAGGGAGATGAGCATCCTAATTATTAACCTACGCTACAAATTTACAAAACTTCCCAAAAAATTTCATGAACTTTCCAACCAAAGGCCAATAAACATCTAAAGCCACTAAACAGCATGGAATTCGTCCACTGCAACCCCAATTCACAGAAAAAAGGCCTCCTCCTAATTAATCCTAGCTACTCCATGCAACGTCCAACACTAACACTATTATTTCAAATCTAAAATCTCAAAACAAAAGAGCTAGCTAGCTAAGCTAGGTTCGTTCGATCTGCACTAAGCTAGCTTAGCTAGTACAAAGACGAGACAACCACGGCATATACTGTTGACATATTTATCCTGCTGCAATTTCCCCCAACTTATCTTCAATGACTACTCGTGAAGCCCATTACTCCCTGTCTTCTCTTTACCCTGTAAGGTGAAAATTAACCTGAACTTTTTACTGTAGGATGGATGGATCGATATTGATTCCTCATGACTAGACTAGATTTCACAGAAGTTGTGAACTATTAGTTGCTCTACCCTACAGACTGGGAGTGGGAAGGAAACTCGATCTAAAATGGCGACAAAGCAAGCATTTGATCTTTGTGGCAGCAGTAAAACAAACCCATTTAAGCATTGTGTTCCAAGAAGTCTCTGGAGTCTGGCAGACCCAGCTCACAGTCCCACAAGCCATCACAGCTGGGAAGATTGGACAACAAAATATTCAAGCAAGAATCATGTCATGAACAAACAGAAACCCAAGTGCAGAAACGAGGTAACAAGCAACTTAATCGGATGAACTGGAAGGTTTGGGCTCAGAAACTGCTGAAGCGAGAAATTACAGCAAAAGGCGAGGAGCAGCAGGCCAGCAGCAGACAAGTGGGATGCCAATCAAAATCAAAATTCAGGAAAGGTAAAAGGAGCTTACTGGGATTCCATCTCTGTTTTGTACGGTGATTTAGGATGTGACCAAAGGCAGAAGCTTCGAACCCAGAGGAGTTGCTACTTGCTCGTGAAATCGCCAATCTCCACTTCTGCACCCTGTCGTCTGCTTCTGGCTCTTCGTCGTCGATGGGTGGATTAGCGACGAGGAACACTGAATCTTTGCGTTACCCAGATGCGGCCGAGCGACGATGATGGCAGCGAGGAGGCTCTGTTGATGGTGGTGAAGCGGATTCCTCCCTGTCAAAGGCTGGAACCCTCCAACATAGTGCAAGGAAGTTGATGGTGGCGGCCGGCGACAGATTTGATGGCAGTCGGAGGTCCTCACGAGGCCTCTGGCGGCGAGGACGATGATGGCGGCGAGGAGGGCAGGAGGCTGTTTCGTCTCGCTCAGCGGCCAGCGCTCTGTTTCGTTTAGGTTTTCCAAGACCAAAATCGAAGAGACGGCACGAACACGAAGTGAAGGCCGCTAGGGTAGGGATGTTTCTTGTCAAAACGACAGCGTGACTGATGCAGTGTTTCCGGGTTTGCGGGTATTTCCGGTTTTGCGGGTTTTGGTAAACCGAAACCGCTACAGTGTGTTTCGGGTTGAACCCGAAAAAACCGAAACCAATACTGTGCATATCGGTTCGGGTTCGGGTTAATCCGAAAACCCGAAACCGAATTGACAGGCCTAATCATATCTCGACTAGCACCTAAAATAGATGACGAATATGAGTACAGAGATGTAATTCAATATTACGTCATGCGTCAACAGCAGGATGCGTGTCCCTCCAAAATACAACACAAAACAAAAGTCACAATCTCAAACCCACAAACTTAAACCATTTTTAACCCAAGAAACAAAAGCCCAATACTTATTGAGCCAGCCGCAAACGTCCAGTATGATTTCGGCCGACAGTTACAGCCTGAAATGCCCCAATTTATCCTTGCCGTCAAGCCCAATGGAGTAGACACAGGCCACATACTCTCGTGTCGTCGTCGGCCTATATCTCGCCGGATCCTCTTCCGACAATATCTCCTTGATCGGCTCGTACAACCTGTCGCTACCTTCGTGCCGATGGTGCGTTCTGAAGAAGCTAGGGATCGAAATTCTGGGGCCGACGCTCTTCGACACCACTCTATGGTACACGCTCTTGAACTTGTCATTCGTGATCAGCTGCTTCCCCTCAGAACGCAACGGAAAAAAACGAGAAACCCTAGATTAGAAATAGCTTCAGGATGAGATTGGTTGAGTAAAGTTTGAATCTTTTGTGTGGATGGAACTTGCCTGGGACATGTCTCCCAAGTTGACGACTAGGGAGCCAGGGATGGGATTGACGTCGACCCATTGGCCTTGGTGAAGGACCTGAAGTCCGCCGATTTGGTCCTGGAGGACTGCTGTGAGGAAGGAGAGGTCTGTGTGCTTGCTGATTCCCAGAGTTGACTCTGGTTCGGGGCATTCTGGGTAGTAATGGCCTTCCACATAGAGTCCATCGGCGCAGCCCAGGTCTCTGAGATGATTGGATTGTAATCCCAGAGCTTCGGACATCAACTCCAAAATGGTTAGCCCCAGTTGCTTCATTTCTCTTGAATACTCGATTATTACATCTCTGCAATATCAGCGCCCACAGCATTTTGAGGCGTGTAAGAGACTAAGAGCTCACAAGTTAGTAGATAGATATCTGCATTACTAATCCTCTAGTTTTATAGATATGCACATAAATGGATGGGTCCGACGATTCTTTCTAATAAACTTTTCAGTCTCAGAACATCAAGCAATTCACAGCAATCTTGGTTTTGATTTCAGAACATCAGTTTTCTTACTAAAGTATACTGACCAAGTCTGTGAAAGAGGGAGCTCCGTAGGTTGATAACATGCTATAATGTAGTTTTGAGTTTGATCATACAAGTGTTGATCTGATGGGTCTACCAATTTCTATCTAAATCTCAAAACCAGATAACGAGAAACTGAAGCTACATTCTAATGTTAACTCAAAGAAAAAAAGGTACTGTCATGGTTTTACATACCTGCATATGGCCGGCAAATCATTAGGATGTGGAGGCACAGGAGCCATCAGGCAGTACAAAGTGTCCCTCCAATTAGCTGCTGAAGCTTGGTAAAGATCGAAGTTGGTGTTATACATGACCTTTCTTGTTTCATCCCTACTGTAGAATTCTTTCTTGACCTCACTGTCCTGCTCGTGAAACTTTCTAACTCCATCAAATGCTCTCTGCAGGAGCGACTCCGGGATGCCATGATTGATCACCTGAAAGAATCCCCATTCCGAGCAGGCATAGTGGATCTTATCAACTGCGGCAGTTCGTGAATGTGGATCATCATCCTTCAGGCCTCCCAAATCTATGAGTGGTATGGTGAATTTGGACGACTCTGATACCGGATCTTCATTGATTGTGGATGGATCATGCTTGAATATCTTTGGGAGCTCTGCGATTCCAGCATCAACGAGGCCTTTTACTCCCGATTTTGTATCATCGAACGCCTGCAGTTCGGTCTGCCTTGCTGAATCTTCTGAATTGGTGCTCACCATCCTGGTTCTTTTTTCTCCCTTTTCTTAGTAAAGCTCAACTGCCGAGATTGGATTACAGGAAATGTTAGATGGATGTGGAAGCTTATGCATTCGATTTATTTAGCCTGTATACTTTTGTTCTTAATCCTGGAAGCTTATGGATTTGATTTATTTAACTTTTGTACTTTTGTTCTTAATCGTGGAAGCTTATCATTAAAGAGCTGAGGCTAGTATTTTTTGAGCATTTGAGATTCCAGTCAAGATTATGCAGCTGATGGCTGGCAAAGTGCAGTGGCATTTTGTTTTCTGGTACCACTAATGACGTGGATGACATTCGACAAGATACAAAACGCCAAATGCAATGTTGCATGTAATGGAAGTGAGGAATCTTCCACTTAAAAGACAAACAACTATTTCTTTAGTTGCTAGTGGTGAATTGTATATTAACACACTAGCTTTTTACCCGGCCACGTTGGCCAGATAGATTTATTTTATAATTTATATTAGTTAACTTCTTTATATGTTTAAATCATTTTAGATTTTCTACATATTTTGTGTTCTTGATTCATAACAGAGTTTGTGGTATATCTATATTGAAAATTTCTAATATTTAGCACACTCGTAATGTTCCGGTTTTCTAATCATAAATGTTGTCATTGTCACGTCCCATTTAGAACTTATGTCAAAATTTGTCAACCAAAACACTAATATTTAGCGTACGTCAACCTGAACCACACACAGAGATATAGTTCAAGCTAGCGTGTGCCAGGAGTATGCTACCATACCACCATTGAGTTTTACTATTTAGACCCCGAATTAATCTGAGTGTTTTGTTGCGTTATACTATATACCCTAACCTCTAATAGGTGAACTCCAGTCCCTAATTCTCTAACCTCTAATTTATGCACATACTTCGTCATACCTGTTTTCTATCGTATCTTGAGTAAAATCAAAAGTATAGTATAACTTTATATTGGGGGGCTTCTACGGTACCCCGGGTGAGATCTTGGGTACCACATACCTTGAATATGAAAATTCTATCTAGACCTTGAATTAGCAGGATTTTTGGGTTGGATAACATACCCTAACCCTTAATGAGTGAATCCTAGGTCCTAATTATCTAAATCATAAACTATAAACTCTATGATGGTGCATTCATTATTTGCTTATATTTGTACGAATCATAACCGTTGATAATTGTTTCTAATTAAATTGATCTTGGGGTATAAGATTTAGAGAATTAAAATCTCAAATTGTACCATAACGTTAAATGTACAACTTCAAATTGTACAATAAAAAAAACTAAAATATAAATGCTTTATAGCATTATAAAATTTCTCTTGTTTATATACCTACTAATGTTCAATTTATCACAAAATATCTGGTCAGCTACTGGCAAATGCTTTAAGCTATCTTGGGAGGGAAGTGATGTTGGTTTCTATTCTGATTGGCTGCCCTCAAACGTTCTTTATTTTTGGTCTTTTGGACAATATGCAGGGTGGGTCCCGGGACCCACGTAGTTCTACTCTGTCTCCGCCCCAGCATGCAATTCCTCTTCATTTGAGTAGTTTAAGGTAGAACATGATCTGAATGAATAAGAAGCTTTTTTTTATAAATAACTATAACTACTCTATCAAGATTATATTGTAACATTTTGCTAAATAATAATTTTTTTATTTTATAGACAATACTTTACGAATAAGAGATGTTTCATTACAATAAAATATAAAGTAATATAGTATTTTCCAAAGGTAATTGAATGTAAAATGTTTATTTTCTCTCTTTTCATTTATATTTTGTTTAATCAATAAAATCATCATTGTTTATGTGTATGCTTGTTTAACTTCTCATCAAAATGTAACTTATCATTCAATTTTATAGACATATACTCTACGAATAAGAGAGTGTTTCATTGCAACAAAATATAAAGTAATATAGTTTATTTTCCAAAGGTAATTGAATGTCAAATGTTTATTTTCTCTCTTTTCATATATATTTTTTTTAATCGATAAAATCATCATTGTTTATGTGTATGTTTGTTTAATCTTCTCATCAAAATGTAACTTATCATTCAATTTTAGTAAAAATGAGTAGAAATTTTCCTTCATAAGGTTTAATTAGATTTTTTTTTATTTGAACAAATGTGATATATGTCTCTCTGTTTTCTTATTTATATTTTGTATACTTGACAAAAAAATATTCTTTATGTGTGTTTGGTTAAGTTTATCAACATGTAACTTATTATTAAAGCAAAAAAAAAGGATAAATGAAAAAGAATAATTGGATAAAAGAAATGGAGATATTAAAGAAGAGAGAGGTAGCTCCATAAATACATTAATAACTAATTTTTTTGTTTGTAAAAAAGTTGTCCAACTTGGCAAATTGTGGATCCTCCAAGTGCTTATGTGGCAATAGATTGTTTTTGAATTGCCATAATATATAGTATAGATAGATATAGATAGATAGATAGATAGATAGATAGATAGATATAGATGAATCACTTTCCATTCAATTTAGTCATCGATGCTATACATTTAATCATTTATAATCACTCGCGATCTATGTTCATTAATCTGTCCTACGTGACGGTCAACAATCATATTTAACAGTTAAATAGCTTTTGCGTACTTTAAAAAATTATCATCATAAAAATTAGTTATTCTATTTTTCATACATCATATTGATTTTCTTTTTTGAAAAAAATTAATAAACTCTCTATGTTCCCTCCGCCATTATCCCACACTACTAGTTCCCTTTCACCTGCAAATTCCCCTCTTCAAAACCTCCTTTTTTTTGTCATAGAAATCTTGATAGATTTACAAGGTAAGGATAAGGGTGGCCACAACAGATCGGCACACTCACTTATCAAAAGACATATAAAACAAATAAGAGAAATCGAATAACAATGAAGGTAATTCAGGAAAGCGTAAGGCATGTTGCATCACTAAATGGGCAGCCCGATTCGCATCTCGAGGAGTAAAAAGTAAAAAAACCTTTGACAATTGGACTAGTAACGCATGAACCTCTGAATAAATTGCGCCAGCACGTGCATCCGATAAATCACCCGAAACTAGTTTATCAATGACCACTTGGGCATCTCCCGTAAGTAAAACATCCCGATCATGCCAATGCCACCGTTGCAGCAAATAAAGTGCTTCTCGTATAGCAAGCAACTCAACCAAGCTAGGATCAGACACTCCTCGAATAAAAGAACCAAAAGCAAATGTCGGAACAACGCCTGTAAGACCGACAATACAAATGGCGCCAGAATGATAAGGAGAAGTGGCTCCATCTACCGTCAACCGAAGGCCTTGAAAAGCACCAGTTAGAACTGCCGGTGAAGTCCTATTGCGTGTCGACAAAAGAGGTTGAGGAGCAGGAGAGACAATGGCAAGGCGGTTGGAATCACGATGGGAAAGGAATTGACGACGGAGAACAGGAACGGTGAATTGGGCATAAGGAGAGAACACAACATTATTACGCCCTTTCCAAAGACGCCAACAGAGAAGAAGCCAATCAGATATGATATCCGGGGTAGCATGGCATAATAAAAAACGCCACAACAGAGCGAAATGGTAACCAGTGGTAGAGACAGCCCAATTGCATCACGAAGGCGAATAGCCACAGGACAACGAATAAATAGATGTTCAAGAGACTTTCCTTCATCAGATTCTCAAATCGGACAAAAGGAGGGAACATCAAGACCATGTCGCTGAAAGTCCTCCCGAACCGGCAGAATCCGAAGTAGCATCCTCCAAAGGAAAAACTTGAGCTTGGGCATAACTGGTAAGGACCACACTTTTGGCCACAGAGAAGGATCAAGAGGGGAGGCCGAGTCAACCGTCCGGGATGATGGAAGAGCGGAAAGAGCATTAAGTTGGAGACCAAGATGATAAGCCGACTTAACGGGAAAAATGCCATTGTTGGTGTAATGCCAAACAAACTTATCCGGAGACGAAGCGCGGGGAAGGGGAATGGCAAGGATGCTCTGAACAGAAGAAGTATAAAAAAATTCACGTAAACGAGTCTCACGCCAAGTTGAAGGGGTAGGAGAAACAAAGTGAGAAACAAACAAAGGAGAAACCTGTACAGAAGGAAGGCAAGTAGGACGGAAAGTGGGTAAAGTAGGTACCCAAGGATCCGTGAATGCATCAATGAAAGCACCAGAGTGAACCTCCCAACGTAATCCATGAAGAAGTAAATCGCGTCCATGCAGAAAAGACTGCCAAGCCCAAGATGGAGTGGAGCCAGTAGTGGCTGAAAAAAAAGATCCATGAGCAAAATACCGACCCTTCAACACACGAGCAACAAGCGATTCGGGAGAATGAAGAATACGCCAGCACTTTTTTGCCAATAAAGCTTGATTGAATGTAGAAAAATCCCGAAAGCCCAGCCCCCCAGAGGCTTTTGATAAGCATAATTTTTTCCACGAAATCCAAGGTAGACGACGTTCAGTGCCTTGCTGTCCCCACCAAAACCGAGCAATTATACGATTAAGATTACGACACAACTCCTTTGGGAGGCGGAAGCAAGACAACGCATAAACAGGTAGAGCTGAAACAACAGACTTAATCAACGTTTCTAATCCAGCCAAAGAGAGACAACGACGTTTCCACCCTTGAAGACGTTTGGCCACCGCCTCCTCAATATAACGGAAAGTGTCACACTTAAAGCGACGAATGAGAGAAGGGAGCCCCAAATAACTATCCCGAACACCAATGGCTCCCACCTGGAGTAATGCTCCAAAGGAGGTGGCTTCATGACACGCCAAAACACAACACCAAACTGCGACCAAGTGTAATCGCAGTCCGGGAATGCAGTAACAGGAAAGTTCTATTATCAACCCGGGGTCTAGATCTAATGCTTACTCCGTGATTATCTATTATCTAGCCAACTAAGTCGATTGATTGTTGTTTAAAGCAAAAGCAGTAAGAAAGCAGGAAATGGTTCGGTTTTCAAAAGCAGGAAAGAGTCACTCAGGAATGAGTCCCCCTAGCTCCTTAGTTAGGTTCAATTGTAAT